CGGGCAGCAGGGCAGCCATGGAGCCCTCCAGCTGGTCCGGCTTGCCGCAGAGCGCGTGCTCAGTGGAGCAGTAGTAGGAGCACTCCCCGTAGAAGCAGACGTTGCCCGCTGGCCGTGGGGACAAAGCGAACATTGATGCAGAGCAGGAGGGCAGCTGGCCTGCTACCCCCATGCGGGGTAATCCGGTGATGGCCGCATGGCGACTGGGTGAGGATGCTCCACGCACCGTGGCCACATGCCACCAGCAAACCAATGGCAAGAAGGCCTTGAAGACCAGAGCCCCACAGCAGGGGACTCGGGGGGACCTGGAGCAGTTCCCAAAGGGACGGTTTGCCCCGGCGCAGGGGGAGCCAGGGCAGGGTCAGCCAGCTCCAGGTGAGCTCCATGCAGGTGGCCACAGGAGAGGATGGACGGCATGAAAGCTCACCTGGGGAGATGAAGAAAGTCTTGGCCAGTTTCTTGTCCGTGGTGATGTCACGAATCTCCTTCGTTATATTGACCAAACGGCCAGAAACTGGGGGGATTCGCCGGAAATCCAGGATCCTGAAACACAGACCTTGGAACCATTTCTTGCTGACCCCATCTGGTTTTCACAGCAAGTTATTAAAACCACCGTGAGGTGAAGGTATCCCTCACAACGGGGAGGAAGTGGTGGGATGAAGGAGCAGTTTCTCTGCCACTTCGCTGTCACACGAGGGCAGAGTTGGATGCAAAACTTGTGCTCACCTGTCCAGGTGGAAGGCTGCAATCTCCGCATTGTGCCGCTCAAAGTCTGAGAAGTAGAAGAAGTCAATGGGGGTCTCCTGGTCCCGGGTCTGCCTGGGAGGAGAGGGGAAAGTGGGGGCAATGGCCACGGATGGGGTCACCCCGAGTGCAGGCTTGGCCCCGAACCAGCCCTTGCCCTGGTCACGGATGCCACCAGAGATGCAGCCAGACCCGGTCACCTCCAGTTGCTCCAGGCTGGGTGGTGTGGCCCCAAACCCTCCCCAGCTAGGCCCCCATGCACCCCGTGCTCCTAACCCAAGGGCTGGGAAGCCCTCACGGACTGCATGGTCCTCCTGGGCTATCTTCTTCTTTCCACCACTGGAGGTCACTACCCCATCACAAGCTGCACCCAGCCTGATGCAAGCACCACCAGGGAAGGCAAGGGGAAGGGGGGCCATCCCTTTTACCCCAATTTTGGGGTGGGGGGGGCCAAAGCCAGGCAGTGCATGAAGCATTTCTCCCTCTGTGGTCTCCTCCAGATGCTCCTCGTCACCTAAAGGGACCGTGCAGGTGGGGTATGGGGTTGTCCCCGGCTCTACTCACTTCATGGGCTTGAAGAGGGCCTGCCCGTAATTCGGGAACGTCATGATGAGCTTGAGCTGGGTCCCACCGGACTTCTGGACTGGAAGGGGGGACATAGGAATGAGGGGGGCTGGTAGCAGGCAGGGGGGCAGAGGTGCAGGCATGGGTGCAGGCAGGGAGGTGGTACCTGAGCTGACAATCCTCTGCGTGGCCAAGTCCCGGAGGAGGGTGGGCATCAGGGGGTCCCGGCGGGGGTACAGCTCGTAGCGGTTGATGCCAACATATGCCAACATGGAATTTGAGCCAGGTGGGGTAGGTGTCATAGGCCGTCTTCCCTGTCGGGAGGAGCGTCTCGGCTTTACTGCTGCTGACCCTGCAGCCCGACAGCCACCGCCACCCCAACAACAACAACAGCGTTTAGTTGGGACAGAACAGGTCCCACATCCCCAGGCCCTTCCCGGGAGCTGGTGCATGGAGGGTAAGGCAGGGGGAAGGCCCAGCACAAGCCCTGGATGGTGACAAAACCCCCTGCCCCATGCCCCTTCCTTGGGGCTCCTGGCACCCCGGCAGGTCCCACCCATGGCTGGTGGCCGAGGAGACCCACTGGCACAGCCGGAGGGGGCTTGGTGGCTTCCCTTGCATCCTCCATGAGAAAACCCCCAGGCTGATTCTGCTCCTCTCATCTGTGCCTTTATTTCCCTGCCGAGGCAGCTCATCTCGTCATATTTCCCCAAGGGATTAGGTCCTGGGAATACAACTGGCTACACACACCCACATGCTCACTGGGGACATACATGTGTCCGTAAAACAGAGGTGGAAGAGCAGGGTCTTCCCAGTCATCCCCAGCACCGACCTGAACTCCCACCCTCAATATCCAGTTGCTCTTACATGGGTTTATCGCACCCTCCTGATTTCCCCTGGGGGGGGGGGATGAGTTTGGGTTAGCACTACCCCTGTCTCTATACCTCCTGAAAATTTGCAGTTTGCTAGCATTCAAGGGGGGTTCCTGGGGGTACCTGCCCCTCTCTGCACCAGTGCCCACCAGCACTGCAATGGGACAGTCCAGCCCAGGGCATCTATAACCCAAATCCACGTCTCACTCTCTCTAGGAAAATGCAGTCTGTGCCCCAATTTCATCAAACCAGACCCATCTCTCATGGTTATCCATAGGCAAGGTGCTCCTCAGAGACAAGGCAAATGCCCATTTGTGGAAATCAGCTCTTAAACCAGCTTTTATTCTCTCCCAGTTTTAGCAGTCACCGTGTTTGGAAGGTGTGCTTTCTGTAAGGAAGCTGCTATGCGTTATCGATGCTAAAGCTTTTAATATCTTCCTAATTAGAGGTTAGTAGTCCAGTGACAAAAATAGGCTGCCGGCAGTGGTGAGCTCACCATACAGCCAAGCCTAAAGAGGTCAGGCGATGTCCTGCGAAATGCGGGGTGGGAACAGTCTCATGGTTAGAGATAACCTACATTGTAGGCTTTGCATCTCCAACATGTCAGGAGAGGGGGATAAAACTGGTTGGAAATCTGGAGTGGGGACTTCCTCATATGTATATATAGAGAGAGAGACCAAAGGCTAGAGTCTGCATTGGGGAAGGAAAGGAGATGAGGAGATGACCTAAAAGATACCCTACATAATACTATGAATAATTCAAGAGCAGCCTTTGGTTTTGCCTTGTGCTACAGACTCCCAGGTAGCAGCCCAGAAATTCAGGGCTCAGAGAGGATTTGAGGCGCAAGAAGAGCGCGCTCAGCAGTCGGAGGCTGTCTGGGGCGGGATGCTGGTCTATGCAGAGAAACGACGTGTTTGATCCCTGCTTCTTCTCCCCTGAAACCCACAGACGCCCCAAAAGCAAGCCAGGGCTGAACTCGCTCACCATTCATCACTGCCGCTGCTGCGCAGGCTGAACTTCTCCATGGGGTTGACGACAAACAGCTTGTCTTTCTCTGTCACCTCCGGGACTGGGATGTTGTAAAGAGGATGCTCAAAGAGCGCCACCAGCTTTGATCCCTCAGTCCGCCCTGCATCTCCATCTCCGCGCCAGCGCTGGACCCCCGGCTCTCCAGCCCTTGTGTGTGGCCCTGCTCCCTGCAGCCGGGGGCTTTTCTCCAAGGAGCCGTTGCTGCCGCTGAAATCCTGAAGGATTCGCAGGCTCAGCTTTTTGGGGCCGGCCAGCATGATGCTGTCTGATGGGAGACCCGAGGCTTTCGGTGTTTTCGCATCGCAGCCGCAGGGCCTGCTGGCTGCGGGGAGAGCCAAATCCATCGCCAGGTGCACCAGGAGGGCCAAGAGCAGGAGAAAGAGGAGGCCAACTTTAAATTTCCTTTGCAAAAGCGTTTGCAGCTGGCGCCGCATCCTTCCTTGCCCAAGATGCTCAGCAAGGGGTGGGCACCCACCCAGGGGCTAAAAGAGAGTTGATGTGGCCACAGCCTCCGTGCAAAAATAGGGGTGAGGTGTCCTGGATTTAGAGCATCGCAGCAAAAAAGGAATGGGTGCAAGGGCAGAGCCGGGGGAAGAAAGATCTCTCACTTCATGAGGCGGCACCGCCGGGCCAGCAGCGGGACAGGATGGGGGTTGCGGTGGGGTTTATCAACGCTGATAAGGGGCGAGCTGGCACTGCCAAGGTTAGCGTGAACGGGGCAAGTTCCAAACCAATAGCCGCAAAACTGGCTCGGGGACAGAGATGGCTGCAGGTAACCCTTGCACCATCCCGTCCCTCCGTGCTGGCACCCCCACAGGGCTGCAGAACATTTCTTGGTATTCAGGGCACTAAAGTGGTTCTGCCCCTCTGCAGCACCCATTCCCCACGTCCATCATGTCCGCAGGCTCGTAATCCAGGAGAGTATTTCTCCTGGTGCTCAGCCAGCTGGCTCGGGGACAGAGATGGCTGCAGGTAACCCTTGCACCATCCCGTCCCTCCGTGCTGGCACCCCCACAGGGCTGCAGAACATTTCTTGGTATTCAGGGCACTAAAGTGGTTCTGCCCCTCTGCAGCACCCATTCCCCACGTCCATCATGTCCGCAGGCTCGTAATCCAGGAGAGTATTTCTCCTGGTGCTCAGCCAGAGCAATGTTATCACCCTCTCCCATCTATTCAAAATCACTTGTACTCAATTCCCCTTTCAAAAACAATTCATATTAGGTAAAATGAAGGTGATGTGAGGATCAGCATCACTGGGAGGGGAAAAGCTGGGCTGGCAGTGTAAGAAAGGGCTGCCAGGCAGGTGAGGTTCATGGGCATGGATGTTCCCAGGGTCTCTGAAGCAGGCAGGGATGTTCCCAGGGTCTCTGAAGCAGGCAGGGGAGGCGGGGGGGCGAGGAGCAGGCCGGCTGCCTTGGGCATCAGCACGGATGGGCAGCGGGACCTACCAAGCACTGGAGAGGACTGGCAGCTTGTGGAAGGGAAGGGCAGCCAATTTTTACAAGAAATTCACTTTTCCAGTGACATCCAGGGACACAGAGCTGGGCTGCATGGGCAAAAACAGTTGGTGACTTGTGCAGAGGGAGCTTTGGATTTGTTAAGGAACAGAGGAGCACGGGACCACCTGCAACAAGCCTGGGCGCTTGGGTACAGAGTCCAGAGTGATGTTTTTCCTCATTTCAATTTCCCAAAGGATGCAGAGGGCACATGAAATCCTGTACATCATGCGGTTCTTCCTCGCTGCGTGATGTGCAAGCAGCCAGCTTGGACATCCTCAGTCCAAGCAAGACAGGGTAGGATGAGCAGTGGGCAGGATGGCGTATGGTGGAGCCCCCTCCTCTGCCACATCCCTGCACTACCCTCTCACTCGTGCTGCCCTCTCCGCACCCTCCCATGCTGGCTCTGTCCATGTGGGGCTCAGCCCCCTCCCAGGTGGCGCGGTGAGAACGCAGCGTTCCCAGTGTTCTCGACTCGCCGTGTCCCACGGCGCGACAGTTGCCTGGAAACCGCCTCCGGCTGACACCATCAGCCGCCCCAGATTCAGCCAGCCCTGCGTTCCCTTCCCCGTGCCTTGCGCTAACAAGATGGCCGAGGGGATCCGGGGCGCGGGGTGGATGAGGAGGAGGAGGAGAGCTTTCCAGCCCGGCTGGCGAGCTCGAAGCCCTGCAGAAGGAGCCGGGCGGAGGGGAACAGATGGCTTCCCCCGGGGAAGGGAACACGGCGTCTTGCTCTGAGAGGTTTGCTGGATCCAGTCCGGACGTAGGGTTTGGAAAGAAGGTGCCTAGGAGGGATTGTAGCTGGAACACGGGATCATTAGGTCATTGCTTAGCAAAAAAAACCCACCAACAAAACCCATGTGCTAACCACTTGCATCAAAGGAGCTCGGCTCAGCTCCCACAGCAGGGCCACAGATTTCTTTATTCCAGAGCCAGCCGTGAGAGAGCGAGGGGAGACGGAGACCCCCCTCCTTCCAGTGCCCCAAACCAGCTCCAAACTGAGCTGGACAGGGGAAGGAAGAAACGTCCCTCCCATGCCATAGAGCCAGATGGGGACAGGGACCCTACAGGCTGAAGCCCCCCTTCTGACTGGGAGTCCCATCCCTGGGCTAGGGGAGTTCACAATCCTCCTCCCTGTCCCGATTCAGCATCCTGTTGGACAGCAGAGCCAGGGGGATTAGGTGGGGCACTTGCCACACTTAGCACTTCAATGCCGGCATTAAATATTAACCAACAGCTTTATCGGGGACTCAGACACGAGCCCACAGCAACAGGAAAAAGCTGAAGAGCTTCAAAGCCTGCCCGGATCGCCTGACAGCATGTTGATGTACCTTATTGCCATGACATCATCGCAGAGAAGTGGTTGAGTTTGCACCTCTTTATTCCCATCTCCACCCTCCCAGTTCTTCCTCCATCTTCCCAGCACCTTCCTCCCTTCCCAGCAGGTTCGAGTCACCCTTGGGGCAGAGGAGGATCCGTACATCCGAGGACATTTCCACTGCTGGCGCTGAGTCAGGACTCCCCAGCAGCTGATAATGATGTCGCCCATCTCCCCTCAGCAGGGAGGGATGAAGTCATGAAGCACAGCCCTCTGAGCTGCTATCGCAGCTTTCTGGGACGGGCAGACAGAAAGGGTCGTTTTGGCTGGCAGCGATGCATCACCCTGTGTTTTTCATCTCCTTTTCTACATCTGACTCAGCCTTGATGCTTTGATGGGTAACGGGCAGCAAGATGCAGGGGGCAAGAAACAAGAGGGAGAGAACACAATAGCGAGCCACCTGTTGCCAACTTCCCCAGCTTTCTGCTGAAAATTTTTAAGGTAAAATACTTCAGAGATTTCTCCTCCAAGAGACTGCAATTTTATAGTCAAAAGCAGATAAACCCTAGAGGCTCCAAAGCGTCAGCCTCAGAGGGGGTCTCTTGTGGGAAAACACAGGACAAGGGATCAGCTCTGATCCATGAACCGTATTCCCCTGCGAATTACAGGCGTGCCTGAAAATGCACCAGTTCCACAGCAAAAGGAGGGCGAGTCTTTCTTCTAACACACAGGGGCCAGCGCAGCATGGCTCAACTTGCAACAGGCAGGAAAATTGATCTGTCTTATTGAGCGCTTGCCTCAGAGCACGAGCTACGACACGCGCAGCTGAATTTTGGGAAGCTGAGGTTCGTGCTTTTTCATACAGCGCCGAAGATGGGCATGCAAACCAGCTAAGATGGGTTGGCTTCTTCGTGGTAACTTCTTGTGGAAAAGCTGTTACCCTTGGAAACAAAAATAGCCTGCCACTCTCCTGTGAGCCACCTTGCGCTTACCTTGGGGGAGTCAGCGTGGGACGTGGCTCGCTGCAAACTCACACCTAGCTCACCTCAATCTGTTTGCACGCTCCTGCTTTGAGAACACTGAGGAGCGGTCAACGTTCACTTATTGCCGATGCGGGTCATGGAGACATTAGCTTTGGTTAATTGGCGGCCAAAGAGATAACAAATGGGCAGCAAGGCCAAAAGATTGTGTGCTGAGGTAAGCAGCTCCCTGTGATCATCTGCAGGTCACCATGACCCTGCAGAGATCCCCATGACCAGCACGTCTGTGCACAGGCACACAGCAGTTAATTATTCATTAGTGTGAAAGAGGCACAATTAAAGAAACTATGGTTTGGCTGAAGGTATCATCATGCTCCAACGTGGGGAATTTCAAAGACACTGGCTTTACTTTTTCCTCTCAACCCAGAGATAGGAAGTTGTGGAAGAGAAAATGATCTTTTCCACCTGCCAGCTGCAGAAAGCGCCAGTCAACAGTGCTATCCTCCTGCAAAGGCAGCCAGCTGGAGCGAGACAGAGTAACCACTCCAAGAGACAGCTCAAAGGATTTGGACTCTTCTATGCTGCACAGTGATCCTGCCCCCATGGTTCACCACATGGGGGCAGGTATCATGGTATCAACTACTTTATGATACCAGTTATGTGTGACCCCCCACCTTGCAATTCTCTTCCACCTGATCAATAAGGAATTATGTGGGAGGACATCAGGCCCAGCCAGCACAGATGGTCCAAATTTGAAATAATTTCTTCATATTACTCTCATTCCTGGCTTATAGAGGAGCTCCTGACACGATGAGATGAAGGGAGGACATCTCTAGCATCACACTGAGGTTCAGAGAAGGAATTGTAAGACCCTTCACCAGTTCGATCCACTGCAGGCACTAATGCAGAAAGCTCCTTCAGAACTGAGCTATGGACTAGAGCGCAGCCTCTCATAAAACAGGAGGTACCAGTGGAACTGCTGGCGACATTCTGAGAGAAAAACGAGACAAATCAAGCCACAAATACGAGACCCCGAAGGTGAGAGCAGAGGCACAGTGGCTGGGCAGAGGACACAGGTACACTCCCTTGCTGCTACTGCTTCGACAGCTGTGTGGACCGAGGACTTTGGCCAGCAGCGCTGTGGGCCTGGCAACCTTCCTCAGCATCGTGGCTTGCGCTGGTGAAAGGAATCGAACAGGGAGGACGAGAGCGCATCTCCGGTACGAGTCGCCCAGGAAACATGCAGGAGGGAGACCTGTCACTGTCCTCTGCCTGAGCTACACCATTGCTTACTTACTTCCATGTTTCCTGAGCTACTTTTCCTTCTCATCCTCCACTTCACGATTTTTATTTTAGAACACACAGAGAAAAGGACATTTTACTAATTTTTTATTGTAAAAACAGAGTTCCCCAGATTTATATAAATAAGCCATATACGTAACATACAATTACGTTCATTCCATCCTCCAACATTGACAGCTTTAAAAAAAATGAAACAGGCTAAAAGAACACAAGTCCAAAAAGACGTTAGATTTGTGATGACCAAGTGATATCTCACATGGAGCCTCCTTCCTCTACCAGCCTCCAAACAAGATGCTGAAAGTACACAGCACTTGCAACACCCTCAAGAACTGACAGGGAGGCATTCAAGCCTTATGAAGAGTTCTCACCCACTCCCCAGTCGTCGTCAGCCGCCCGTGTTTTCATGCTATCTCAGTGTGCAGTGGGTGAGAAAGGAGGGGGCAGTTTGCATAGCAACCTCCTACATTCAGGCAGCTCAGCTGTCGTACCCCCCCAAAAGACACAGGGAAGGGCAAGCCGAGTCTGCTTCCCTGTGGCCAACGCCTCCATGGGCAGCCCGAAGGGACACCCTTGGCACTGCCAGTTTTATACGGACATTTTAGAAGGGGGGAAGAAGGTATTTTCGGCATTCAGAGAGAGGAGAGACAGGTGCTGGTCAGAGCCATAGCACATGGTAGTGGGGAAGGCAGAGACAAGAGGATGCGATGTGGAACAAGTGGGAGGAAAAAAAAACAAAACCCAAAACCCAACTGTAGGGCTAAATAGTACCTTTTCTCTTTCGCTTCCCCCTCCTAACGCTGCTGTACAGCTCTGCAGCATGTCATGAGAATACCTATTCCCTACCTCCTTCCTGCTTCGGCTCAGACACCAAAGAAAAGAGCCACAGAGAGATAAGAAATCCCACGAGCAAGGACAGGACGGCTTAGCAAGTTTATACGCACACACACCCCACCACCCCCCTGACTATATGTATCCCACAGAACTGGTACGTCAGTACGAAAAAAAAAGTCTTGACGTTTAACTATTAAAAATAAAGCCCCACCTCCAGATTGTACAAAACCTGTCAAGAAAAGGAAGAAATCTCTTGTGTGCAGCGAGTCTGGGACCCAGCCAGATGTCAGGAGCACTTCCAGACACACACGGCCAGGCTGCCACCAAAGAACATGTACAGCAGATTCTTCACCTCGTGAGTGATCTCAAAGCCAAAGCCTTCCCCAATCACCACGTGCCAGGAGGACCCAAATTTCTTGTCCATCATCTCTTTAATCATCTTGGCAGCGCTCTGGAGAATGTTAAGAAGGAGACCGTAGGGTGAGACAGAGCAAGCAGTGAGTTTTCATGCAAACATCCCCCAAGTGTTATCCTCCCTTTAATAGACCACTCAAGCCATGGCCAACAGGTATAGCAGCTACATTGCAGGAACTGGGAGCTCCCCAGAGCTACGCCCAAGGGTAAAACAGGCTGCTGTGTTTTCAGCGGCCTCCAACACAGCAGCTAGGAGAAATTAAAGAACGGCATCTAGCAATCACTCCTCTCATTCACACAGTCTGAAGCAAGAGTTCTCGTTCAGATGCTGATGGAGTTATGCTGGGTACAGCAAGCGTGAGAGGAGATTCAGGTCACTAAGCTGCAGCTATTTTTACAGGAGTCCATTTTTTTTTCTCCAGCTAATTACCAAAACACTGAAACTAGGGTGACTTTTAAAAGGCTCGCTTCCCCCAGATCACACCCTGCTTGATCTAAAAAAAGAGACAGGAAGATTTTGCAGTGACATGCGGTGTCTCAGGCAGGATGGGACAGAAGGAATCTCTGGCTTTGTAGCTCTGCCTTGCTCTAACACCAAACTGCCCTGACAACAAGCAGTCTGTGCCCTGCCCATGGAGCAAGGCGTGTTTTCCTTTATCATTGGTTCTCAAAGTTAAGGGCAACCTTTCCAAAGACCATAACTTCTCTATCACCCCCAATTAAATGGTCTCAGTAACTTCATGCAGGAGGCTGAAAGCCAAGAGAGAAGACTTAACAGACTGTACCTAAAGGTTCAAAGACTTGCATGTACTCATTCCCAAAACAAGAGTCTCTTTCCCACTCTGGTGGGGACAGCCTTGCTCAACACTGAAGAGCAGACAGGAAGGACCCATCTCCACACAGAACCAAGCCCTCAGGACACAGGGCATGTTATCAACAGGGTGGAAGCACATCACAGGCAAGGCAGGATCAGGAAGGAGGTAAGGTTTGGGAGCCAGCCTCACTACTAATCTCTGCTTCCTGCAGGACAGCAAAGTGCTATTACAGATCTTGCTGACAAAGGGAACCAAATCCGAGATCTAGCCAAGCTCTTTGCCTTCTTCTACCCTTGCTCAGTGCAGACAGAGAGAAATAGGATGTCAGGATCTGACTCCACCCTGCCCTGCACCCACAGGTTCCCTGAGCCGCAGCAACTGAAGGCTGCCCATTTTGGGATTCAGTTAGTACCTCGTTGTTGGTGGCGTATTTCTCACATGCCGTGACACACAGCTCCATGGCCTCTACACGCATCTCCTCCGGCATGTCTGTGTGCTGGAAAGAGCAAACAAGCAAGAGAAACTAAGCAGAAAAAGATAAGCTAGACACAAGACAACAGTAAGTAGCCCTTACTTTGCCCAGGCTGTAGCAGGGGCCTAGACTGCTGGGCATGGGCAAAAGGCAGCTAGTCCCTGTGACTGTTAATACTTGCTTCAAGGCGGGAAGCTTCACCAGCAACGCGGGCTTGTCTGTACACCAAGCATTTCCACTGTTTCAGAGAACGGTAAATATGAAAATGGCTTATTGCATTACAACTGACCCCTTCGCTCCTTTGTCTCAGCCAATGCAGAATTCTTCTCTACCTAACATTAAAACTAGCACAGCTTAAAGGAGGAGATAAATATATTTGTCAGTTTTTCTGTTATAAGATGAAGGGAAAGCATGTTAATACTGCTCCAACCACAGTCCTAATTATTGCTATAAGCATAACAAAGAAGTCTAAATTACACAGCTTTTTCTTCCTCTTCTGCTATCTGGCTGGCTAGCAAGATCTTTTACTCCAGCTCCTCTAGGAAAAAAAGCAAGCTGCATCCAGAACACAGGAGAGGGCTCCAAAGACAGCATGTTAAATCTATTAGACGGATCACTTTGCCCCAGGCTTCTCCTGGCTGACAGGGGAAATAGCAGTGCTAATAAGTCTCCCTGACAGAGGACAGGGACAAAGCAACAGCGATGACTGGGATCCTTCCACAGGACCATCAGTACACACATTCTCACAACGACTACTCAGTGGGAGAAATTCTAGTTTGGAAGGTTGGTCAGAATGAAGGTAGACTTTCACATCGGTAACACCAGTAAATGTGTAATCCATCCCTCTTCTTACCCTAATCAGTGGAAAGCTGTGAAGTCTTTTATAATCAGCTTCCTCCTTTTTCCCCTCCCCGGTGTCTGCCATGGTCCTCCCACAGTGACCCCAGGAAGGGGCAGAGGGGCTGCCCGGAGCTCAGCAAGGTGCTGCAGTGCGGACAGTTGAAAGGAACACGGGCAGAGCAGCTTCAGCAGGAAGGGAAACTTCTTGGCCCAGAGGATGCTGTTTAAACAAAAACAAACACAGGAAAGAAGAAGAAAGCTTTGAATTAAAACTGAAGGCAAACGAAACTATTACAAGAATATTATCCCATCTCAGTTGCTTACTGTTTCTCAGCACTGTCTTCACACGCCATGCACTTAGAGAGTGATTTTACAGACCATTAATGCAAACAAATTTTTAAAATGTATTATTTTCCATAAACAAGGCTTCAAGAGCACAGCACTTTCCCAGAAGCACCAATTGAGCTTGAGGTAAGAGCTGAGTCAGGATACAGCTTCCGACAAGGGAGGGGAGAACAATACATCAGCCTTTATGTCCATTGATTAATTCCAAAAGGATTTTCCCAGGAGGCTATTATCTGTGAGGGTTTCAAACTGCACATGACAAGCAAAGGGTAAGAGTATTTTAGGAACAGGATAAGCATACATGTCTGGATGGAAATGTTTAACAGAACATCTTGGTCTGGTTTGTGCACTTGCTCCTCACATCCCCGAGCATTTGTCAGCTGGGGAGGACCATATGGGAAACGCTGGACCATGCCTCTGGGCCTAATTACCAACCAGCTTCTACCTGAGCAACGCAGAGGCACAGCACTGTCTGACTGGCAGATTCAGAACATTTCACTGTGGTCTTCCCTCTGGTTCTCTCATCCAGAACAAAGCACTTCCTCTCCTACCCAGAGGAAACAAGAGCGATCCCGTATTAAAGGGAAAACAAAACAAACATGGTGTCAGGCAACACCACACAGACCAAGAGTTTATGCCAAGCACGTAGAGTGCCTGGGTAAAGCACCAACTCTGACAGACTACTCGCTCTCACACAAGGGATCCTGGGACCCGTAGACATCCCCACCATGAGCTCCACAGAACAGAACAGCTGCCTGCTCGGCACCAGCCCCCCGCAGCGGGGCAAACCCCGGGAGCCCCTTCAATACCCAGCTTCTCCCCGAGAC